TTGAACCATTATCTAGAAGATGATGTTTTGCCGATAACTTCAGGTTTTGATGTTTTGAATTGGTAGAAAGCCAATGGATCAAAGTATTCGACCTTACAGGCAATAGCTAAGAATATTTAGTTATTCCTATATCCACTATTTCTTCGAAGTCAGCATTTAGTACTAGTGGAAGGTTGGTGAATACACATCGTAGTAAATTTAATAAAGCATTAATGTGTGCACAAAGTTGGTTGTAGGCTACAGAGATGAAAGGTACTCAAGTCAATCTACATATTATTATTTCAATTTTATATTACCATGGAATAATTTTAATATTGAATTTATATTCTTTACTTTTTAGGAAATTCAACATTAGAATCGGTGGGCTATGCGACTATATATGATGATGATGAGATCGACTTGGATGAGTCATGTGGCACTTTTGTGTTAGTTGCCATCTTTTTTATTTTAATTGTTAACATTTTTTACATCTTATTATTAATATTGATTTTTTTTTTTCCTTTTGTTATTTAACAAGAATTCAAGTTGAATAAGATGATGAAAGTTGTGGTGTGGTTATATCAGAGTATTGGAGAAACAATGTTGTTATTGTTGTTGTTGTTTTTTTTTTCCACAATGGATTTGGTTTTTTATTTTTATTTTTTTGTTGTGGTTGCTATTTAATTGTTCAGTTTTTTTTATATTGTAATCGATTTGTTTTTTTATTTTTTATTTTTTGGGTAGCTTATCCCTTGCGGGCTGTGCTTGGGACTTTCTTTTCTCTTTGCAACATGCTCAATTCTCCTTTGCGTGGAGCTTGAATAGGTTATGGTTTCTAAATAGATAGAATATAGGGTTGCTGGATGGAATATAGGGCTTAGATTGCTTAGCCCTTTGATATGCTTACACCTTTGTGTTCTTGGTTTGATTATTTTTGCTTTGCTTTGCTTTGTAATCTTTCCTTTGAACCAATAAAAAAAAAATGTGAGTGTCAATTTTTGAATTTGAAGACATGCTATTTACATATCACTGTTAATTCTGATATGCTTTTTACAGATATGCTATTTTTGAATTTGAAGATATGTTATTTACAAAAAACTGTGAATTTGAAGATAAGCTATTGTTAAATTCAAATTTGAAGATATGCTATTTACAAATCACTGTTAATCTTTCCTTTGAATAAAAAAAAAAAATCTAATATGCTATTTATAGATAACTATTAATTCGGAGATTTTTCGGGGTCGGGAAAACACGATCCACATTAGGAGGCGGGAGTAGGGAGGGCGATGGGTTCCCTGCCAGGGATTGGAGGCGAGGACGGGGAGTTTAGTACTTTTGGGAATTGGGAATGGGGAGTGTAATCCCCGACCCCGTCCCCCCCCCCCCCCCCCCCACCCCCCCCCCCCCCCCCCCAGTTATAACAAGTGTAAGTATACAATTTATGGTGTGGATGGCAGTGAGAGTAGCTTCTCCCCAAAATTATTCGGGACATGAAGATGAGATGAGAAGAGCTTAGGTAGTGTCTAGAATATGACGGTGCTTCCTTTCGGCTTGTCCATTTTGTTGGGACGTGCCTACACAAGATCGATGAGATGATGTACCATTAGCCCGAATAAAAGAAAGAAATTCAGAATCCAAGTACTCTTTAGCATTATCAAAATGAAATATTTTAATAGTACGAGAAAACTGAGTGCAGATCATGGTAGAGAAATCATAATAAATTTGTTTAAGTTTAGATCATTTTTAAGAAGAAAAAACCAAGTATAACGAGAAAAATCATCGATAAAAATCACAAAATATCTTGACCCCCCTATGGTCGGTGTGGGGGAAGGTCCCCAAATACCTAAATGCACAAGATCAAAAGGAGTAGTAGACATGGAAGTACTGTTGTTAAAAGATAAAGCAGGTTGTTTAGCAATTTGACAACTTGACAAGATAAACAATCAACATCTTCAAGACGGATACAACTTAACTGACCAGTAGAAACTAAAGTTTTCAAACAACTAAAAGAGACATGTTCTAAGCGACAATGCCAAAGGTGAAAAGAAAACATGGCAGAATTTGATGCAGTAGAGGAAGCAATGAGAGCAGTAGTTGATGATGTGTGGGGAGCAGTAGTAGATGATTTGTGGGGAATGCGAAGATGGGTAAGCTCAAACAGACGTCCATGCTTACGACCTATCCCAAGGATCTGTCTTGTCTGAGGGTCTTGCACCAAACAACCATTAGCAGAAAAGGTAACGGTTAGACCAAGTTTATATAACTGACAAACAGAGATAAGGTTCAATTGAAGAGCAGAAATGTGATAAGCATCAGAAAGAGACACAGTGGAAGTAGAAACTTGACAAATCTAATAAACAGTCATATAAGAACCATCAACAGTGTGTATGACGGGGATAGAAGATGATGATAATATAGAAGAAAATATAGTAGAGTTAGAAGTCATATGATTACAACATGTGGAATCAAAATACCTTGGAGAATTATTTGAAGTCACTGAAAAAGCAGTAGAGTGAGGAGTACCGGATTTGGCAAGCACTTGTTAGATAATGGACTAAACATTATCCATAGAGAAGAAATGAGTAGTGGAATCAGTGGAGTGGTGAGTAGAAGAACCCTCAAAGGCAACAACAGTAGAGCGGGAACCTTGGCCAGATTTGGACTAATACCCAGAACGAGAAGACCCTTTCTTGGATGAAGTATTTGAGGGGGCTCGAGGACAATTGTGTTGGAGATGACTGAGAGCAGTCTTGTGGCAAGTAAAGTATTCGCGAACCTGGCACTGAATAGAAGAATGAGTGGCTGGCAGGCCACAGTTGTGACAATACTGGCATGAGCTAGCGAGTTGTAAAGATAAGGAACTCTGTGATGATGGTGTAGCAAGAACAAAATCCATATTCTGAGATTTGAGAGTCCCAAAACGAGTATCCTCTAATAACAATTCAGTAATGGCTTGCTCTAAAATGCTCAAGCGCAAACGATGGAGCAATGAAGCACGCATAGGCTCAAAAGTGCTATGAAGAGCTATAAGGAACTGTTATAGTCGCTGATGATTCCGATAAGTAATAAACAGCTGTGCATTCTCAGAATATGCCCATATAGGCTCAGAAAGAGCTAGTTGGTCCCAAATAGACGACATCTGAGCATGTAATGAAGAGTCTACAACAGTTGATATTAATGAGCATAGCCAGTGGTTTGATAACGGTCCCTCAAGAAATCTCAAATTGCTTTGGCAGGGGAAGCAATTTGATCATCATCTTGGAACAGGCCAAACTGGAGATGAATGGAGGGAACTTATCCCGAAACCATGTGATAATTTGATAATTCTTTCTTTCTCATTCATCAAGATGGTCATCAAATGCAGAGGCAGTCTCATCCTCCTTCTAGGTGGGTTTGGAAAGAGCATCGATAATGATCCGCCAAATTTGTTTCCCTTTAATGAAGTTAGAGAGAGCTTGGGCCCAGCTAACATAATTTGACCCATCGAGGATAACAAAAACAGAGTGGATGTGCTTGGTACAATCCATAATGCTCAAACAGGGCAAAAGAAAGGAAGAATATGCTTTGTAGAGGCTAATTTTGCCAAAACAGAACATACCAGCAGATTCAGGAGGCCAAAAACAGGTGGGATATGGTTTGAACGGGCCAAAAACAGGACCAAAAAAGTGACAAATCGGCTAGTCAAAGTTGCTTGACCAACCAGGGGAATCAAAATTAGGGCTGACGTCACAACAAGGGAGGCTGACGTCAGAAACATATGGCATACGTTAGCGGAGGTACGTGCGGTGCACGATAACAAAAAGTCAACAATGGCGTACAGTTAACCAGGGTTGACATCGCGGCTTAGTTAGCAAATGGGGCCGCGGCGCAAAATAGCGCGAGACAGGAGCAGAGGCGCGTAGGAAACGACACAATGCGTGTCGGATCTTCTGGTGGCGCGTGAAGGCGCGTATGGCGGCAGGTGGATATGATTTTGATGGCGTTGGCTTCGTCTTGAAGTAACAAAGAAGCTGGTATAGTCCAATCATCGAAACATGGAAGAACGAGATACGCAAAAACCAATGTGAGAAGGAATCAATCTACCAGACAGGAAAGAAAGAAAAAAACGTAATGAAGAAGAAAAGGAAGCTAGGAGAAAACCCTAAGCTCTGATATCATGTTAGAATAAGAGAGAGAGAGAGAGAGAGAGAGAGAGAAAATTATATGTATTATATATATTCAATCAATCAATACAATATGAGAAGCTTGTATATATAAGTCAAGAAACTTAGGTGTACAAGAATACAAGAATACTAATAGGAATAGATAACAGCTAACACTTTAAAACATTTTATAAGTTCTAAAAACACACATTAACAAAATTATTTTTACAATTATGAGCCACACAATAAATAAGCATTCGGGTTCAAAATGTAAGAATAACATAAAAACACATTATTGAGTATGAAAATTATATTTGTACATCATTAATTATAATATAATAATTTAGAATTACTAGGTCACAAGAATCATCATTTATTAATTTTTTTTTAAAAATAGGACTTCCCAAAAGCTTCCATTGCTGCTCATGAACTTGCCATTCAAGTTTTGTTTGGGATGAGTTTTTTGATTTTTTTAACTTTTGTGAGAGAAAAAATGAAATGATTATAGTTTGAATGTGACATTTTATTTTTTCAGTATTGCAAATTGCTCAATTAGGGCTATAATAAAAAACTATACTATAAAAATCTACAAACATAATTTCTCTATAAAAAAACTCAATTGAAATGATATAGTTGTGATATTTTATTTTAAAAAATATTACATATAACTTAATTTCTTTTCTTATTTTGTCACTCTTAGATTTCATGTCCATTTATTAATATAGATCCCATTTTCTTGTGTATACTAATGATAAAATAAAATAAAAAATAAAATTATGTTGGGCTGTTTAGCTGGCAATGAAAAAACACATCATAACACACATGATTCATAATTATATTTTTATAGCATTAACCATAATAATGGAATTAGAATTACAATGTCACAAGGAACATCATTTATTTTAATAAAAGAACAAATAACAAAAAACAAAGTAAAAGAAACTATAATGATTGACCAGCCAAACAAAACGCATTGAGTTCTCCCCAAAAAGCTTCTAACAGCTCATGGACTCGCCAATCATGAAATCATAGCATTGCCAAAAAAAAAAAAAAAAACTCAATTAGGGTTTTTACAGTACGTGCATTAAGAGGATGAGAGAGAAGCCAATGTTTTATCAGGGTTTATGGCAAAAAGCCCTAGTGAGTCATGAGAAGTCTTCAGTTTTGGAGTGGGACGAAACCGAGTTCGTCGAGCACCTTCTTGCAATCGGCAAGAGAGTCTTTCTTCCTGAATCCGATAGGGTTGGCGAAGCGTTTGGTGGATTCCATGCCGCTGTTCCCAGTGAGAGAGATTCTGGCTTTGTTGATGTCGGACACTGACTCGTTGCAGTCAGTGTCGGGGCTGTTGACGGCAGTGACGTCGCAGATTTCGTCCTGGTGGTCTCCGGTTACTTTCAAGCTGTACTTCCCTTCCTTGTCGGCTTTTCCAGACACAGTGTAGGTCACTGTATGATTGTCTTGGCCTCTGCAGTTGAGTTCTACCTCAGCATCTGCAACAACAAACGAGCTCAAGTTTGAAACAATTAGCTCAAAAAGAATATTTTAATACAAAAGTGTGTGAATTATATAATAGTATATACACAATAAAGACATATTTGTACGTGATTCATGTATTGATATCGGTATCACAATTATATATTTATAGATATCAGATGATATTGACTAATATATTAGTGAATATTGAAATCAAAAATTTTAAATTTTAATATATATCGATCGATATTTAAATTTCTGTATGAGAGTACCAATGTAGCATGTGTATACATGCTTCCAACCAATAAATCCACTCCTAGAATGTGGATTAGGTCAACTCTATCCTTATATGTCTAAGAAAATTATTCAATAATTTGAAAACACCGCTATAATATATATTCGTAGTGCTTTTGACCAATAAATCTATGCAAAAACGATGAATATGACTACTTTTGTCCCCACAACCCAAAAGGTAGGCCAAGTACAATTCTCCACCGCCTACAAAATTAGCCCCTTTGGGCTTGAGATCTTATGTACCAGTTTGGAGTTACAGAACTACTGAATAATAACTAGTATATGCAAGTTGTTATATATTCTTATTGCATTGAAAACCGCAATTTGAACCACAGCCAAAAAGAGAGAGAGAGAGGTGACAAAAGTTAAAATTTCTAGCCAACAGAGTTAGCCCAAATTGATTATGTGACGTACCAGGAACTTTGTGACTGACTCTGGTCTCGAACAAGACGCGGCAAGTGTCACAGTAGACATAGCCTTCGACGAAGAATTCATCTTTCTGGCAATTGGCGAAGCCAGCAAAGGCCAAGAGGCAAAGAGCGGAAGTGATTAAGGCTACAAAAGCCTTTGCCATTTTTATTTTTATTTTTTTAATTTATTTTTTCCGTTTTTGTTTTGTTGCGATGGTTTTTTGGGGGGTGCTATGGATCTTGAGGGTACGAGGAGTCCATTTTTATAGTAGTTTTTCAGAGAAAAGAGAGGTCATCTGTTATGTTTGTGTGGTAAGTGAAAGTTCTTGTGGTTCTCCACACATTTGTGAGATTTTTAGGGAGAGATTGACTCGTTCAAAGTTTTGCTATTTTTAACAAAAGGAAATGGATCCTCTTTCTCTCTCTAGTTTGACATTCGACCCACGGAAGAGTTGTTTCATGTCCATAGCACATAATTAGGTGGTATTTCAAAGGAAAAATTATTGATTGCTTCAGGGTATGACATGGTTATATTCATGAGCAAGGATCCTCTAGAGTAATTTTTTCCTAAAGTTTCTAAAGTGTTACATTATGTGGTTGAGATTTGTGGCAAGTCACATCAATTTTTCTGATGTGACTTGCCAGTAAATCTCAACCACACAATGTAGCACTCTAAGAAACTTTAGAGAAATTTCACTCTAGAGGATCCTTGGTGTATATTCATGACCATTCATAAATTCTCATATTTTTTTTATATTCTTCAATTGCTCAATATAAAATTGTACATTTAATATCCTCCATCGCTGAGTCAAAGAAAACAACTTTTTATCCGATTCAAAGTAATTAAAAATTATTAGATTTTTTTATTTTTTTATAATTCAATATTTGGCTTGTCCCATCAATTAATCCTGAAGATCAATCCCACCACTTATTCGTAGAATCTCAAAAAAATTTAAAATCTTAAAATTGCACTTACAAAGCTTCAAATATAAGACTTTAAAGGAAGCACACTATCAAATCCCAAATATTCACTATTAAACCAAACCATTGGGATTATTACAAATCATTAGATTATGTTTCTGCTTATGGATTAAGACGAAAAGAATCAGATGGAACCAAGTGAAATTGTTTTTTTTATTATTATTAATAGTTGTGCACATGCATGCGTTCGCATTTTATATTTAAATTTTTGGTAGTTTTGTGATCAAGAAAAATTGATTAACAGTTTTGGGTGATGGGATAAGGAGGAAAAATCATTATAATTGTGTGTGTCAATTTCTGACCACACTGCTAATCAAGCACTCAGCTGGAGAATACAAGTAGAATAGATTAAAGCCGAACGACCTGCAATAGAAAAAAGAGATTCCGACTGTAGTTCGTCCACCCGGGGGCATTCCGATGATTAAGTCAGTAATCAAAATATCTCTCAAAGATAATCAATAGTGCTTACTCACTGTTCTGAATATAAATTGCGTACCTTAGACCCATGGAGGTGCCTTTCTTTTATAACCAACACAATCCTAGTCTAGATAGAAGCCTAGCTTCAATAGACTTCTGCTCAGTGCTTAGCTTGGACTCTCCAATAGATAAAAATAAACTCCCTAAGAGCTTTATCCTTATCCAAGCTGAAGTCCTTCCTCATTCTAGGACTCTTGTCTCTTATCCGCTTATCCCGGACTCTGATATCTTCGGATATAACCTCGGCCTAGCCGAGATCACCTCGGCGTCACGACCAGGACACGTGGCACCTCGGCTGACACGTCGGCGTCACCTTGGCCACGTGCTAGTACTCAGAAAATATATCCCCACAACTGCCCCCTAGGCTCTATTACCTCGGCATCCTGAGGTGATGGAACCTATTTCGTTATATCATATAGCATGTCGGCTGTCTTGCTGTATCATCTATTTACTGAGGTCATAATACGTCGGCTTCACACGACTAGGTCCAGCCGAGGTCACTTGCTTCTTTAAACCAAGAACTCCAAGAGTTTTTATCACGCGTATGAGTTGTCACGCAAAATAAATCAACCGTTTCTGCCACGCGTCTTCCCCTCACTGGATCGTACTGAATACGCGCTTGTAAGTTGAATTTTTCTCACATGCGCCGTCTGACATATACGTCGTTTTAGGCACATTAATTGCCTTTTTGCCGTCGTTTTGAGTTTAGAAAAAACTTCTTTTCTTCTTTCCGTCTCTTCATTTTACACCACCGTTTCTGAAGTTTTTCCTATCTCTAACTTTTTCTCCTAGAATGCGCCATTGTTACAGATTTTCAAGCTCTGTAACTGTTTTCATTCATCTGCTTCGGTGAAGCTTTCGCTGTCCTCTTCTGATTGTAACCACCTCCTGACTCCTACGTTTTCAATACCGGTTTCACTCTTCTGGTAAGCTTTTGTGTCCTCCTGGTTTCCAGTTTCTTGAAAAAACTTTACCTTTTTATTTGTTGCCATTACTGTTTGAGTATGTTTGCTTCGTAATTCTGTTTTTGCCCAGTCCTTTCTTGAATATTCACATACTGCTCACAAATTTGTTCACTTTTGCCACTGTTCTTGGCCTGGTACTCTTGCACACACTCTGTCACACTGTTCTTGATGATTCACCACTGTTCTTGATTCTGAATCATTGCTCTTGTTTGTGTTTTTTGTATTTTCTCCAGATTCTTGCCTTCAATCTCCGTTTGTTTAGACTTAGGTTTGAGATTTGCCCTAGAACATACGAATCTTAGGGAAAACTGAAATGAATACCCCTCTGATCTTCACAAATTCTTACCCCAGTGTGAACTTTAGGTTTTGCCAAGGTCTTCTGAGCCTTTACAGAACACTTTATTTCCAATTTATACACCTTCCGCCTAAGCCGACGTCATGGGTATGTGGAAGCATAGGGTAGACACCTTGACCAAATTAGAATACTTTAGGCGGGAGTTTTTCATCCCTGCCAATGCCCACCTCAGGTTGGCAGGGGAAGAGGATTCCATTATGTCCGATGTGAACCTCATGCCCTTCCCAGTAGTGGCCTTCATCGAGTGTGGATTTAGGTTTCCACTTGACACCTTTTTCCGAGAAATCCTTCTCTACTATAAATTGAACCCAATGCAGCTTGCCATTAATTCTTACCGAGTCATAACTAGAGCAATAGCCTTAGCCAAACAAGAGAATGCTAGAGTTACTCTTGCCGATTTCTAGTACTGCTACATTATGTGTCGCCTGAAATCGGAAAAAGGCCACATTTATTACCTCAAGCCGAGGTCCACTGAGTACAAGCTCATTGCTGACCTCACAGACTCAAACAAGGGTGCTGGAGACGATTACTTCATCATCTCGGGCAACTGGGAGTTTCAGCCCAACGATGACCTCCACCTTTATCCCCTAAGCTGAACAATTTTCGGGAAAGGAGATGGTAAGGGCCAAGTGTCACTTTTTCTTGCTCTCTTTTTTAAAGTTTTCAATACTTTGTTCTAGTGTCTGTGCTCTTCATTTTTCCGTTCTTCCTCAGCCACCAAAGGGCTTTCGCAAGTCTTTCTTCTCCAGCAAGGACTTGAAGAAGCTATTGGATTTGCCAGTCCATAAGCGGAGAGCCCCACTACTACTCAACTTCATTCCCACTTACAAGTCAGTTCTTCCTGACATTCTAAAGAAGAAGAAGAAGAGTCAGTCTCCTCCGTCCGCCACCACTCTCCCAACAGCCTCATTATCTCGGCCAGATCAAGGGTCAACCTCAGATCCAGCAGAACAAAAAAAACCTCAGATCCAGCAGAACAACCATCTACCTCCGCTCCACAGCTGATCCCACCATCCCAACGCCGACGACGACGACGAACTGTTTTTGCTGCTGAGATGGGCCGCCAGAAAGCAGTTGCTAAAGACCTCTTGGCCAACATTCCATCCACCGTAGATGCCCAACCAGCGCAGTCCCAGCCTTCACCAAAGCCAAAGCCAAAGCCAAAGCCAAAAAGAATAAAGAAGGCTCAGCCAAAGGCAACGATGACTCAAATTGATACTGAGGACACCTTGCCAATTTCAAAATTGGCTGAGAGTGATAAGTCCCATTCTGCTACCGAGAAGAGGCCCGCCGAGGCCTAACCATCTCAATCCACTCGGTCAAAAAGGCCGAGGTCTGAATCTGTAACAGCTTCGGGCTCCATGAAGTCTGACTACCCCTGGGCCCCCCAAATCACACTGGAGGACAAGCTGGTCAGAGCTGGTGATAGTGCCGATGACGTTAACATCGATGTTGCCCTTAGAAAAGCTTTGCTCATTCCTGGAGATCTCGACCGAAACGCCGAGATGAGTGAGTATGAAAACTTTGCACTGATGCTCCAGCGTTCTGTTCAAGTAAGTCTTCACACTTGGTATCTTTCTTTCTTTCTCTTTTTTATACTTAGAAAATTTTCTAATAACTTCTGCTCTGTCCATTTTTCTTCAGTCAATCCAGCACGCCCACTCCTTCTCAATGTAATCTTTTGAGACAAGGAAAGTGTTGGTCGACAAAACTAGGGAGGTTGCTAGTCTGCAGAAGACCAATAAAAGGACCGAGGCAAAAATGAAGACTTTAACAGACGTGGTCGAGGAAAAGGCAGATGCTGCTGATGCCATAACTAAGGTTCTTGAGGCCCAGAAAAAAAGAGACCGAAGAAAAGACGACCGAGGCCCAGAAAGAGCTGCAAGATACCTTGGCCAAAAAAGACGTTGAGCTCAAGGCCGCCGATGAGAAGGGATACAATGAGGGGGTGGCTGATGTCACGGTGGACTACGAGAAATAGGTGAAGCAGGCATGCAACAAGGGTTTCACCCTTGGTTGGATGACTTTACTGAAAAAGCTTGAAATCCCCGAGGACTCCCCCCTCAAGAACACCAACGTCTTCGCCCTGCCATTCCCCCAAACTTTACGCCAATCCAACGACGATTCTAAGTCTGAGGAGGAAGCTTTGGTGAGAAAGTCAAAGGAAGCTGCTGGGGCCAAGTCCCCTACTCAAAATGAGCAAGTCCTGGACTTGACTCAAGATAAGAAGGGTAAGGAGGTTCCCAAAGATGCTACTCCTGAGAAGGCAACGTCGGACGCGCCTATTGCTGATAAGAGCTTTGACCAAACCCTTGAAGAAATAGACGTCGAGCTCGCGGCTGAGAAGGCCGCCGAGATGTCTTCTCAGCAGTCCTCCGAGCTCTAGACCCAACTTGCCAGTGGCGCCGAAGAATCTTAGTTTTATGCTTTTCTCTTCTTTCTGTACCTTGTATTTTTTCTTTCTTTGA